TACTTAATCCCATCCAAGAATTTAGCCAAATGAGAGCTCCATCCCTTGAAAATATCTCTCAAATCAGACAGTGATATGTAATTGATCATGCTGTCATACACTATTATCTTCAGGGATAGGAGCTGAAGTTGGACGAGAAGCCAGTGACGACGTTCCAAAATAGGGATAAACACCTGCGATCATAAGTAATAATTCATTTATTTGCGCACTTATTTATGAACACCTTTAAAAAAAATTAAAAAATAAACACTAACCTTATCGACCTCCCACCATGCAGGATAAAGTTTAGCTTGTCCATTGCCCAACAAAAATGATTCATCTCGTTGATTCTTCAAGTGAACTGCGTGAAAAGCCGTCGGCATTATTGTATATAGCGAATTTTTTTTATTTTCCTAAGCTTCCTTATTATTAGTAGACGTGACACCCACGCATCGATATGCTGTTTTACAAAAAAATACATATATTAGTGAATTACATTAATTTTTAAACAAATTAATCAAAATCATATATAAGACAAATATAGTCTTACCTCCCCATCCAAATAGCCACTGTCTTCAACCCCTAATAGCACACCCCACCAAGACCGATCAAGCAACAAAAACATTTCATCGTTGAGTTTGCTGATGTCAGTGTAACACCCTTGGCTCCGCTCATGTAGATAAAAATCAACTGCGGTCTTAGCCCAAAGGGTATTATCCACAATTGTTTCCGGTAGTTGTCTCCTCTCCACTTCAGATACCGGAAGGGTACTAGCCGGTAACTCATACGAGAGCCAACTCTCATCCATCATGTCCGGAACCGGTGGGGGTTTCTCAATACTTCGATATTACCCCATGTGAATCGGGCTCTGGAATGGTGGGAGGGACCTCTTCAACGATGACAGTGGCCTCTTGAACGGTGGGGGGGGAATCTTGAGGGAGAATAGGGGCCTCTTGAACGATTGGAGGGGACTCTTGAGGGATGACCGGTGAGTCGGGCTTCTTCTTGCGGAGTCTTCGCACCATTGGGGTGAACGGAGACGTAATAGCACGTCCACACCGTCTGATGCGTGAACTCCGTCGTGCAAGGAAAACCCGACGTAAAGCATCCACCTTATCGGGCCGCTAAAAAAAATTAATACATAAATCAGTAAATAAACAGACATGATATTAAACAAAGACAAATATGTTTCAAACTAGCATTGTATTCACCCAAATCATTATTCTATCATAGTTCACAAAATGCTCAGATAACATTCCAGAAGTAAGCACTTATATAAACATTTAAAAGGACAACATATATAAACATTCCAGAAGAAGAATAGTTTACTTTCGCAACACGAAACTTAAAATCGCAACGCGAAATGACTATCGCAACGCGGAAATGGCTATCGCAATGCGAAATGAAATCGCAACGACAAAATCGCAATGCGAAATGAAATCGCAACGACAAAATCGCAACGCGAAACACAAATCGCATTACGATTTTCATTTCGCGTTGCGATTTTGTCGTTGCGATTTCATTTCGCATTGCGATTTTGTCGTTGCGATTTCATTTCGCATTGCGATTTTGTCGTTGCGATTTTCATTTCGCATTGCGATAGCCATTTCCGCGTTGCGATAGTCATTTTCGTGTTACGAAAGTAAACTATTCTTCTTCTGCAAATTGAAACTTGAATGGATTGCATTACTTCAACCAAAAGACAAAAACAAAAACAAAACCAAAAACAAAACCAAAAACAAATACTAACAAAAACAGTTTAGCAGTATTGGCAGCAACCGAATGAATTACGAGTATGAAAAATCTTAAACTTACCTCGTTGCGTAGAGTATGAACCTCATTCTGCAACGATGCTACCATCTCACGTAGAGCGGCTACCTCACCGCGTAATGTAGACACCTCAACACGCCATGCACCATCGTCTTTGCGTAAAGTACCGACCTCCTCACGCAAGGCATTGACCTCATCACGTAACTCCCCTAACTCATCCCGTTGAGGTGGAGGTGGAGAACAGGGAGATAAACGTCGTGGCATCTTTGCCGGTCGCCTATCTTGCGGTGATGGTGGAGAAGAGGCTCAATGATGTGACATAATAGGTGATGGCTGTCGTTGTGGAGGTGTATAGCCGGGTCGATCAGATGATGGCTCTGGGTGAGGTGATAGCTCTGGGCGAGGTGATGGCTCCCGAAGTGGAGGCTGCTCATCAACCGTTCCATCAAAAAAATGCTTACTAGCTTGCCACCAATCAGTGGCAAGCTCAGCTTCCGTGGGTGTCAGCCTCTGTAGAGGAGTGTTGGCCTCCTAACAATATAAAAGCTCAAACAAAGTTAAACGTGTACTAGTAATAACTTGTTTATAAACATATGGTAGTATTTATGTTAACTTACATTATTTATTGTCGTATACCGTAGTAAATCTTCCCATTGCAAGGTCCGTTTCCTCTTCCAGGAAATAGCCCTGGGAATATCATTTGAAGTTTTTATTGCATATGTCTTCATGGCGGGAAAAGCCTCAAATATCCAAATCTACAAACAATATAATAACAAACATTAGTAATTGTTAAATAATTACTTATAATTTTGGAAACATCATATCAAAATTCTTACCTTAAAGGCCCAAATAAAGCCTGTCAAAGTGTATTTGGAACCATCGCCATGCAAACTTTTTCGATCATCCAAGGCAGACGATAACTTATTCCATGTAGCTTTCCATAAATACGAGCCCCACGGAAACAGGTTCCACGCATTTAGGTCTTCTACCAATTTGATTAGATCATTTGGAATAGGTTGTCTGGCCTCTCTGCCTAAAAAGCCGGCATGCAAAAGAATTAGAAGGCATACTCGGACAACGTCGACGTCATCCATCCGAGTAAAACCATCTTTATTATTCAAAAATCTTGTCAGGTCTTCTACGTGTAGACTCGGCCTCTCCAGCTCAGGAAAAACCCGGGATAGCCATGATGGGCGGGTAATGTGTCTAGTGTACCGACCTACATCATCGTGTCCGAAGCGTAGACCGGTGATTAAGCAAAACTCCTCCCGCCCAAAACACGTATACGCCGGTGGAAAATCAAACCATATCTCTTCATCACGACGTTGTATAGTCTCTGGTAGATCGCTAGTCATGGTTTGAAGAAACAGGTGTGTCAACATCGCATCTCCACCGGGATGTTGTACTTTAAGCCATGGCCCGAAGCATGTATCCTCAAACATTTTTCTTTGTGCAGGTGAAAGCTTCGACGCAATTGTTTTGGCCAGGCTGACTTTATTTCTCAAGGTCAATTGAGCCGAATAAAAGTTCTACAAAAACAATAAACATACTAAATTAGATATACCAAAAACTACACTGTGAAGATATACCAAAAACAATAATAAACATAAATAGTAGTAGTTTATTCTTCAAACTTAAATATGCAACACTGTGAATTTCGTATTTGTCTTTGTTTTTGGTTGAAGTAATGCAATTCATTCAAGTTTCAATTTGCAGAAGAAGAATAGTTTCTGAAAATGAAAATCGCAACACGAAAATGACTATCGCAACGAGAGAATCGCAACGCGAAACTAAAATCGCGTTGCGATTTGCATTTCGCGTTGCGATTCTTGGTTGATTTAATAAGCAATCTAAGTGAAATGGTTAATCTATTATTGAAATTACCAGTAAACTTATCATCAATTTCAATATGAAAAACCTAATAATAATGCAAAAATTTCAAAAAGAAAATAATTAAAAAAACTAACCCTCGTTGGTTGATTTGGTTGATTTTCCATTTCTGATTGTGAGGGTGGCTCTGAGAGATTTAGATAGACGGATTTCGCCGGAGATGGGGACGGATTTCGTCGGAGATGGGTGAGAGAGTGAGAGATGGAGATGGGACTGAGTTGTGATTTTAGGTTTTAGGTTATGAGTTGCGATTACGGGATATACTGTGGACAGTTCAGTGTTCCAATATATTAATATTCATGTTTGGAATTTAAAAATAAAATACTTGGCCAGGATACTAATGGCGCTTTGAAAATCGCATTGCGATTATGTATTATCGCGTTGCGAAAGTCAGTATCGCGTTGCGAAAGTAAGTATCTCGTTGCGATTTTTTATTATCGCATTGCGATAGTCAGTATCGCATTGCGATTTTCCCAATTCGCGTTGCGATTTACTTATTCGCATTGCGATTTTCCCAATTCGCGTTGCGATTTACTTATTCGCATTGCGAATTGGGAAAATCGCAACGATACTGTAGACCATCGCAACGCGATTTTCAACTATCGCATTGCGAAAATGCAACGCGAATTTGCGATAATGGAGATCGCGTTGCGAATTAGCGATTGCATTGCGATTTTGTTGGTCATTTTGGCAAATCCGGAAAAAATTGATTAAAATCGTATATTATATGGGATTTTTGGTCACTGAGGTTATTTTCTCTAAAATAATCTACATTAAATATTATATTAAGTTTTACAAAAGAAATTATTTCAATTTAATTTACTTTTTTATAACATTAAATTTTAATTATTTAACATTATTTAAAATATTTAATGTCTCATCTCGTTATCTGATAATATAAATAAAATCATTATTTCCATTTTATCTAAAAGACAGGATTTTCTTCTTATTTTGTTCGAATAAAAGACCAGGAAATTACATATGAATATATGATTATATGTTTGGTGTATATATATATACACACACAAACATAGAGAAGATGGTCAAATGTATTAGTATAATCGCTTGTGTCGGCAGCAGATCATTGTATTTGTTTAAAACATTTAAAATTTGATTAAACAACTAAGAATATATATATATATATATATATATTAGGAAGGCAGTTCGAAGGTTGATGATAATGGTTGGGTTCTGGTACGTATGAGATGGACTTCTCATCAAATCATATAATGAACTCTTATTTATATAAAAACATAAAATTAAACTAAACAAAAAAGAAAATTGAATCAATCTGCTGCTTGTCCTTCTCTGTCATAATCTATTGGCCTTTCTTTGTCAGAAGGAAGAAATCCCACCCTTTAAAGCCCGGAAATTCTTTCTTAACTACTTGTTTTGGTGACTTCACAACTGCTTTTGCTTCTTCTTCACGCTTTTATTTTCTCTTTGGGTGGGGGGCTGGAGTTTCCAGCTGAATCTTTGGGTTTCTCTTCCTTTGAGCTGCGATTCTTTGCTTAGATTTGAACAAACTTGTTTTGAAATGGAGATTTGGAGATGGGTTTTTATCGGAATTCTTTTCCTTTCCGATTTTGTTGTCAAGATTGAGCCTTTCAAGCTGGGTCGTAGTCAACCTACGGAGAGAATCTCAGGTAAGATTTACCCCTTTTTCCCATATTTATCTCAATGTTCATTTTGCTGAGTTTTAGGAATTAACGTTGATGATTGTTTTTTGGGGTTTCTTTACTTTTTAAGAACTGATTCCGATCTGCTTAAGTTGAAGCTGATTAGATGTTTGCTTGATTGTCTATGACTTCAAATTGATTATTCTCTTTTATTCTGTTTAATTTTCTCAATTTCAATGTTTTGTGTTTAACAATTACTCACTTTACTATTCAAAAAACAATTACTCACTTCAGTTCTCATTTCTCAACAAAAAGTGCCGATTTTCGTGTAAAAATATAAATGTTGTCAAGGTGATATATTTCCTAAGGTCGAAAAATTATTTAGTCCCAATGATAAACTGAACTGCCTATCTGTAACGTCAGAACAAAGAAAAATGGGTATTGGTGAATTTTTGTTGGGATATTAATCTTTTGTTATTGATGTTATGAGTCAATTCTAGTGTCAAGCTTAATAAGATTCTTACAATTAGTAGAAAAAAACTGAGATAGTCTGATGTCCGATGCTTTATGAGCTCAGGTTTAAGATTTAGTGTCCATATGTGTGATAATTGCCGCCAGAAAAATAATCTGAAATAGGATTATCAAGATTCTATTTTGAGGATTGCTTAGGGCTGTTTTAGGTGGAATTATTTAGGGATTCTTTCTAAGCAAACTGCTTTAGGACGTATGGATTGTATGAACATTGCATGAAGTTTGGAGATTCGATCGCATACTTCACGAATGTGCCATGATCCACTTAATAGATTCTGTTTGGTTTCGGAACATTTTTTTTACCTTTAGAAGGATGCCCAAACTTTGTTATTTTCCTTATTTCATTAATTGGATATAGAGTGAAATGGAATATGGACTTAAAGAGATTGAGTAGCAGTAAAAGTTTCCTCCTTTGTCACTTGCATTGATGTCGAGCACCTTTGCCACTATGATTCACTTGTGATCCTCTGGTATGTCACCCACGGTAGAAGTTGTTATACAATAAAATTTGAAGTGTGTAATTACAAATTCGATGTGGGTTTTCATGTTTGCAGGCAGTGCTGGTGATGTCTTGGAAGACGACCCAGTTGGAAGGTTAAAAGTTTTTGTTTATGAGCTTCCTAGCAAATACAACAAGAAGATACTGCAGAAGGACCAAAGATGCCTCAACCACATGTTTGCAGCTGAGATTTACATGCATAGGTTTCTTTTATCCAGCCCTGTTCGAACCCTCAACCCCGAGGAGGCTGATTGGTTTTACACTCCTGTATACACTACATGTGACCTAACACCAAATGGCCTCCCTTTGCCTTTTAAATCACCACGAATGATGAGAAGCGCAATACAGCTTATTTCTTCGAATTGGCCTTATTGGAACCGAACAGAAGGGGCTGATCACTTCTTCCTCGTGCCACATGACTTTGGAGCATGCTTCCATTATCAAGTATTTCCCATTATTCTCCATTTTCTGCACTACCATCTGTGATAATCAACACATTTTTCAACTGTTTGGCTTGATTATTGTGATTTCCTGCTGTGCTCCACTGGGTTTTAGTCTTTAGCATTTGTCTGAATGTTATTTGGTTCGTCTTTTCTGGAAAATGATCACCCCTGTCATTGATTTAGAATAGATCATTACCTATGTACATATGTTGTTGCAGGAGGAGAAAGCTATTGAAAGAGGGATTCTTCCCTTACTCCAACGAGCCACACTGGTTCAAACTTTTGGACAACGGAACCATGTTTGCCTGAAAGAGGGATCAATTATAATTCCACCATATGCTCCACCCCAGAAAATGCAAACACACCTGATTCCTGAAAAAACTCCTAGGTCCATTTTTGTTTACTTCCGTGGACTATTTTATGATGTCGGAAATGACCCTGAAGGTGGTTACTATGCAAGGTATGTCTCTCTGAGCTGACTTGTTAATAGATCGTTGTTTGAACAAAAAAGGGTCTTTATTTTTCTTATGAGATGTTAATTGAAGAAAAGTCATTGCCATGAATCCGGTTGCTACATCATGTTAATCAGAGATGTTTTGTTATGGAAATTATGATAATGGAACTGAGGGCCTGCCTTCGTGTTGCTGGAAATGTTTACAGAACCATTCAGAAATTTCCAAATATCTAATTGGAATCATCTAATGATTCTTTTTTTAATGTTATTCGAGTTATTATGAATGCTTGCCGTAAGATTGTGATCCTAGACAACTGAGTTCTTTGTTCAACAATTTTGCAGGGGGGCTAGAGCGGCAGTATGGGAGAACTTCAAGGACAACCCACTCTTTGACATTTCAACCGAGCACCCAACTACATACTACGAGGATATGCAGCGAGCTGTATTTTGTTTGTGTCCACTTGGGTGGGCACCTTGGAGCCCTAGATTGGTTGAAGCAGTGATATTTGGATGCATTCCTGTTATTATAGCAGACGACATTGTTCTACCCTTTGCTGATGCAATTCCATGGGAAGAAATCGGTGTTTTCGTTGACGAGAAGGATGTCCCCAACTTGGACACAATACTCACATCGATCCCACCTGAAGTAATATTAAGAAAGCAGAGATTGCTTGCCAACCCTTCAATGAAGCAGGCAATGTTATTCCCCCAGCCTGCTCAACCCGGAGATGCTTTCCATCAAGTTCTGAATGGACTTGCACGTAAGTTGCCGCATGACAAGAGCGTGTACTTCAAACCCGGTGAAAGGGTCTTGAATTGGACTGCTGGCCCCGTCGGTGACCTGAAACCTTGGTAGCAGTTCTAACTTAAAATTCCTAAAGCCTTCCAGCATTCTACTCAGTCGACCTTCCTTATCAGGGTTTATCTGTGAAACCGAGCAAGAGATACAAAAATGTAGAACTTAATTCTATCGAAATGTATTAGAATATTGGTATTTTTTTTCCGGCAGCTTTAGCAATGTGATTGTTCGTTGAATGTCATCTCAGAATTGAGAACACCCCAATCTTTAATTCATTCAATGAACTGCGTCATTATAGGTTGATAATAGTATTTGTGTGATTCTTAATTTCTTCCACGCGATGCTAGGGCAAAGCTTTCGTCAATCGGTTGAAGGGTTGTCAAGCTCTAATTGGGTTACTACCATAAAAGAACATGTTAAAAGAAAACACACAAAACAAAGTGTAAACTACTTGAATAGTCACTTAATTATAGGAGAGATTCTAATTTGATCACTGATTTATTATTATTATTCAATAATAGTTATTTTATTATTTAAATGATATTAATTAAGTTAGTTGTTGTTGTATCATTTTTTTAGAATTAAATTTATTGAATTAAACCAACAACTAATTGATCTAATGGGATGAGACACTAGATTCATTAAACAAGGTTAAGAGTATGGATTCTGATGTTTGTGAATTGTGCAAACTGAGTTGAAAGGATTGTCTCATATTAGACCTTTGCAGTACTCGATTGGAATTAGTTGATTAATAGATCAGATACTAGTAGTTATACCAACAAAATTTATTAAATTAAATTAAAATCAAATTAATGGAATATATAAATAATGAGGATCAAATGTGCGATTATATAAGTTTACTTAGCAATCAGTCTGTCAAGTATCAAGTCAATATTGATGTTAACCGTTAACGATATGTGATATTTAAATACTTAAATAATGTAATTGATAAAACTAATAAATTAACAATTAAATTAGAACTATCCCCATGTTTAAGTGACTATTCAAGTAGTTTACCCTAAAACAAAATTACGAAGAAGACCAAGAAAAAGTGAGTGGGGGAAGAGCATGAAAGCCACGCTTCCACGTATTTTCTCCAACTTCACCAATTCATCACTCTCTTATCTTCTCAGCTCTTCCTTTCCATTCCTTTTACAAGCCAAAGCGGATAAACAAAAGTAGAGCGAATCTGCAAATGGCGCTTCAGGCACCCACGCTACCATCAAAACCAGCTAATTCTCCACTTGCTGCTACACCCAATGCCGGCCTCCGGGCACCCTCTGATCGTTTTGCTTTGAAATCGTCTTTCTTTTCTCCATCGCTCCAGCTCTTGCTTCCTTCTCGTCTTACCACTAGTACTGCTTCAACTGCACCAAAGTTTTCCATGCGTGTGGCCTCCAAGCAAGCCTATATTTGCCGTGATTGCGGGTACAGTACACCTATCTTCTTTGTTTGTTTTATTACCCTTGAGATCAAAGGGTTCTTGAATTTATCCATCGGACGATTGTTGCAGGTATATATATAATGAGAGGACTCCCTTTGAGAAAGTTCCCGATAGTTATTTTTGTCCTGGTAAGGTTCCAGTTCGGTTGAAACTAGTTTAGACGTGTAAATGAAAATCAAAATGCTCCATATGAATTTGTACCGTTGTTTTTTTAATGGGGTTTTGTAGTTTGTGGTGCTCCAAAGAGGAGATTCAAGCCATATCAGCCAGCTGTGGCGAAAAATGCTAATGATAAAGATGTTAGAAGGGCTCGAAAAGAAGAAATTAAAAGAGATGAAGCTGTTGGGTAAAACCCTCAAAACACTTTTCATTAATCCTTCACCTGTACTTGTTAATACGGACTGTTGATTTGCTATCTTTTGTGGTTTCATGTTGGAAACTGATGCAGGAAGGCATTGCCTATTGCAATCGTGGTTGGAGTTGCAGCACTTGCTGCTCTATACTTTTATCTCAACAATACCATTGTCGGCTGAATGACATGGGAGTAGAATTCTGTCAATTTTCAGGAATTTGCAGGAACAACTTTTGTTATATTTCTGTAGCATTTCAATTCAATTCAATCCACTTTTGTTAATTACACTTTCTTGGATCTCATGAGATGAAACGTGAAACTGCAATGTTGACATTATTTTGAAAGAAAACATATAGTTTGTATAAAAGCACAGCAATGGATGCTATTCAAAGTAATCTGAACTGTTGTTTATGTACCTATATGATTCAGCGATTTGCAAAGGAACCCATCTTTCTGTTATTGGCCTAAGTAATTAACTCAAAGTACAATACACATTTTATAAATATAACTGTTCAAATCTAAAACGAGAATAATATTTCTTTTCTGAATATTAGAAACTCTATATTTTTTGTTTTGGTTATTTGGGTTAATTTTCTTTTATTTGGACTGCTTTCCTCCATGGATTTGATTGTTGCCAGGCTCTGTATTTGTTCCCCAGATTGCACTTACTCGTAGTTTGCCCAAATCCCAGTCTAAAATCTCCAGTATCATGTTTGGGGCGTTCAATTCAACCTTGGGTTTCTTTTTTCTAATCAAGATTGAATGGTTATTTATATCTTCAAGTATCCTTGCACCAAGTAATAAGATCATTGGAAGGTCATATATATATATATATATGTTTGGATTGTGTTAAACACTGATATTTGAAAAAAGAGAGTAAAAAACAACGTAGGCAGTAAGAAATTACTTTTCACTTGCAAAATTTTGATGTTTCATACACAATCTTATTACTTACCGATAACTTATTACTTCCCCATAAGACTAGGCTGTTTTCTTATTCTATATTCTTTTTGAGTTCTAATCCATGAAGTTTATAATTAGTTTAGAAGATATTATATGGTTTGGTTTCATCAAGATGTTGAAATCGCAGGGAAATGGAGAGTTATGGTCAAGGATGGTTGCTTTTGGTTGGGATTTTAGTGACACTAAGTTTACCATATTCACAAGCCTCTTGGGGAATTCAAAATAAGACACGAACTTCTGTTTTCTTATCACCTAAGTTCATGCTCGGACCGGGATCGGTGGAAGATAGGTTCTATTACAATGTCGACTTTCCGAAAGGTCATATTGCCATGAAAAATTTCAATGCAGAAGTGATCGATGAGGCCAGGAATCCTGTTCCGATGCACGAAACGTATCTGCATCATTGGGTTGTTGTTAGATACTATGTACGTAAAGGCACAGAAATATCAGAGTTTGATGACCATGCAAAACTTAACAGGACGAATTATATTTCTGGGAGAAACAGTGGGGTTTGTCCTAATCTTGTCCAGTTCTTTGGCCTCGGGTCTGAGACACGAAAAACTGCAACTCATATTCCCGATCCATATGGACTAGAATTCGGTAATCCTGATGAGATTCCTTCCGGGTTTGAAGAGCAGTGGTTGCTTAATATTCACGCAATCGATACAAGGGGTGTGGAAGACAAGTTGGGGTGTACCGAATGCCATTGTGATCTATATAATGTTACAGTTGAATCATTTGGAAGACCTCTGAGGCCAGACTACAAAGGCGGTTTATTATGCTGTTACTAGCACACGCAATGCATGGTGAAACAAGGATTGGAGGATGTTAGAAGAACCCTTTACCTACGATACACTGTTAAGTGGGTCGATATGGATAGCTCTGTCTTACCTGTTAAAAGTTGTATATTCGACATTACCGATACTTGGAAAAGGTCCCCTAATTCAACTGGGAGTAACTCCACCACTGCAAGGTAGATGAATCGTTTACGGGCTGCAACAGAATTTCTTCCTAAATATCGCCATTTAATATCTTTGCTGCAGGTGGAATATGATATCGAACCTTGCCATGCAATCGAATTGGCTGACAATGGTTGCATTGACAACAGAAGGATAAGCCTAGACATGCCATTTGGTGGTTATCTCATATATGGCGTTGCACACCAACATTCAGGGGGCTCTGATTCTGCTCTCTATAGAGAGGTATTTATGTCAATGTATGTATGCAATATGATGATATGGTGACCTGTGCATGTTTGCATTTTGGTGAATTCAGGATGGCCAAGTTATGTGTTCTTCATTACCGATTTACGGTGACGGAGAAGAACCGGGAACGAAGCTGGTTACATTGTAGGAATGACCACCTGCTATCCTCAACCGGGTGCCATCGAGATATCTAAAGGGGAGACCTTGATTTTGGAGTCGAATTACAGTAGTATCAGACATCATACGGGAGTAATGGGGCTGTTCTACATTTTGGTTGCGGACCAATTGCCTAAGCCAATACACACCTTGCACACTGTTATTCAAGTAGGATTCCAACTCTCAAATGATTATTCATAATGCACAGATACGTTTTCTTTCAAATGTTAGGCAAACTTGCTGCATGATTTCGTTGAAACGAGGATGTTTTTAATGAAACAATCATCCGATGCAGACACGGGATAGTATTACTCCGTTAACAATCCTTTGGGCAGCGGTAGCTATGTTCGGTGCGGTAACTGTTATCACTGTCACTGCTCGTTATCGATTTAAGCGCGACGAAGAGGATGGCTACGAAGCAGTCGGGAGGTGATCATGTGAATGTGCTGTGATAAGCTCTATCTCTAGCCCATATTGCATCTCTGAATTCCAGCAACATTGTTGTGAAATTAATGACATCAAAGTGAAAGACTCTGTGTTCGTTCACAGAGAGAAGGAATGGAACTGATGAGGCCATGTTGATGGTGTTGGGTTCTTGGTTTTGATATCACATTTAATATGCATGGAAAAAAGTGAAGATTTTGAGAGATATAGTAGTATGTTTGGCTAATTAAATATTTTACCAAGAATTTTATTATTTTAATACTTTTCAATGATATTTATTATTAATGGAAAATAGTTTATTATTAACAAATACTAATTTAGTTTATTTAATTTATATTAATATTTTCTTTATGTAATGTATAGATTATCTATTTTTTTTATAGTTTTTTATGCTTTATTTTAGTTGAAAAATAGCTTACTCAATAAATAAATGAGTAAATACATAAATAGTCTCCTAATTATAGGCTATTTTTTGTTGAGTCTTTTAACTATTACAAATTATAAAATAATCCTTAATTACAGGGCATTGTTTGATTGAGTCTTTTGATTTTTAAGAATTATAAAATGATCATTTAACTATTTGTATATTCTAACTTCGTTTTTTCCGTTAAAAATATTGACGACCGTTTAAGTTGGATATTAAAATATTGATATAATAAAACTAATTTTATTTATGAGATTCATCAATCTTCATGCTAGATACCACACGATCGGTTCGAATCAGGAGTTTGACAATTACAGTCAAATTTCCTTTCCCGTCCATTCATATTCACGAAGAAGTAAACCTATTATTATCATAAAAAACACGTGGTAAAACCTACTGCGTCCTCGGTTTTTGTATCCGACATAACATGCAATACATAGAGAGACAGTCAGCTCAACTATAAAACCGTATGAAACTTGTGCCAATCAACAGATTGAAGCATTACCGACGATCGGCCATTAATCTCGGTCTCTCAGAACGTCTACGTACGTTTGTTCTTTCCTTACAAGGTTTATGTTTTTTTGCTTTTCCTTTCATTTGGATTGATTTCTTCCATGAAATTATTAATTAGTTTAAGAATATATAATATGGTTTGGTTTGATTCAAGATGTTGAAATGACAGGAAAATGGAGAGTTACAACCAAGGATGGTTACTTTTGGTGGCGATTTTGGTGACACTAAGTTTACCATATTCACAAGCCTTCCGGGGGAACGAAAAGAAGATAAAAACTGCCGTTTTCCAGTCACCTAAGTTCGTGCTCGGACCGGGAGAGGTCGAAAATAAGTTCTATTATAATATCGACTTTCCGAGTGGCCACATCGGCTTGAAAAATTTCAATGCTGAAGTGATCGATGAGGCCGGGAACCCTGTTCCGCTGCTGGAGACGTATCTGCATCATTGGGTGGCTGTTAGATACCATGTGCGCAAAGGCATTAACATATCAGCGTTTTCTGACCATGCAAAACTTAACAAGTCCAATTATATTTCCGGAAGAAACAGCGGAGTTTGTCAGGGTACTCTGCTTCCCCAGTACTTTGGCCTCGGGTCCGAATCAAGGCACACCACGATGCGTATTCCGGATCCATATGGAATACCAGTCGGTAATCCTGCTGAGATACCTTCAGGGTTTGAGGAACAATGGATGCTTAACGTTCACGCTATCAACACAAGGGGTGTGGAAGACACGTTGGGATGTGTTGAATGCCGTTGCGAAATGTATAACATTACGGTCGATGAAGATGGAAAACCTCTGAGGCCAGACTACAGAGGGGGTGTGTCATGTTGCTACAATGGCACGCGATGCAAGGTAAAACAGGGATTCCAGGATGCTAGAAGAGCTTTTTACCTTCGATACACCGTGAAGTGGGTCGATATGAATAGCTTCGTCTTGCCTATTAAAGTTTATATACTCGATATTACCGATACTTGGAAAAGGGCAGGCAATTCAACTGAGATTAACGCTGATCATCACTGCAAGGTAGATGGACCGTTTATGTACTTCAACACAATTTATTTTTTATCAACTGGAAAATCTTCTCAAACATCTTCATTATCATTGATGCAGATGGAATATGAAATCGAACCTTGCGATGCTACCAGATTGGCTAACGATGGATGTATCGACAACAGAAGGATACGCCTTGAGCCATTTAGTGGTTATATCATATATGCTGTGGCACACCAACATCCAGGGGCCCTTGGTTCTGCTCTCTATAGAGAGGTATTTATATCAATATATGCATTCATGTAAGCAATTGATGGTAATGAGCTCTGCCTGTATGCATTTTGGTGAATTCAGGATGGCCAGCTTTTGTGTTCTTCAATACCAAGATACGGGAAGGGAGAAGGACCGGGAGACGAAGCCGGTTCCGTTGTAGAGATGACCAGCTGCCATCTTCCACCGGGAACCGTCGAGATATCCAAAGGGGAAACCTTGATTTTTGAATCGAATTACAGTAGAATCTCACGTCATAGCGGAGTCATGGGGCTGTTCTACGTCTTGGTTGTTGACAAATTGCCCAAGCCAATGCACAACCGGCACAGTGTTGTTGGAGTAAGTTTCCAACTCCCAAATGGTAAAAGTTGATGAAGAAAATCTATTAGTCTAACCAAATTGATCATTCATTATTCTCAAATATGTTCTTTAGAAACGTTACATCGACATCTTATCGCGTGATTATGTCGTAACGGGGCCTCATTTCGATTAAACCTATGATGTTTTCAATGATACGATCATCTGATGCAGACGCAGGATACTACAACACTGTTAGCAATCCTTTGGGCCGTGGTACCTATGATCGGTCTGGTGGCTGCTATCGCCGTCGCCATTAATTATCGATATAAGAGCGAGAAAGGTGACGGCTATGAAGCAATTCGATATGAATGTGCTAAGTAATGAGCTCTAGTCCTTATTGCATCTAAGAACACCACTAGCTTTGTATGATATGGGATTATGGAAGGCAATTTTGTAGATAAATAAGACAGTTTTGGATAATGTCGTAAGAGAGTGCGGCGGCTTCTCACAAAGAGCTTGAGTTCCCTTTTATATGCAGTGTTCAAGTTTCAATCCATTACCGCTGTAAAATTTTCAGTTATTTTGATAATTTTATTTTGGTAGTTTCAAAAATGGTTTTTTTGTACCTTAGTATTGTATAATTAAATTCAAATGTATATTTATTTATTGTTTTTAACAAAGAGTTGGATAATATGTTTTAGTTTAGGGATGTGTATGAGATTTGAATTCGATGGGTTATGACTTGATCTTATTTGATTGACTTTTTTAAAAAAAAAATGGATTGGGATCCGGGTCTATTTTTTTAGAGCATAACTTCAGGTTGGATTATGGTATAAGGTGAAAAATACCCGACCTAAAAAATAATATACTTATATATTTAGAGATAATGGTAATAATATCATTCTTTATATTATCATTTTTCAATTAGATCCCTATTTTATCAAATAAAATTAATAATTTTTTATAAATATATTTATTTTGGGTAAGAGGGAGTCACCCTAAATATAGATCGAGTTGAATTTCGAATAAAAGATGTATATCTTTTAGGTTAGATTAAATTGGTTGAAAATTCGACTCAACTGACCCATACCTATCCATATCCAAGTTTATGTATTCAACGGTGTATATGATTCGACGAGATTTATAGTTATAAGTTTTTATTTGATTAAGTAAATATTTATTACATTTTAAAGATAAATATAAAAAGTTTGAACTCGTATAAAATAAGACAACATAAATACCTTTGATAATCGAACTAATTAATAGATTTTAATTATAATTTTTTTCATTAAAGATATTAAATTCAGAAGAGGTAGAAATCTATGTGATATGGATATAACAAATCTTAAAACATTCTCTACAAATTGAAAAGTGTTTATTAAAATTTTAAGAAATTTATATTTTGACACATTTAATCCATTGAATATTTTATAAGAACATAATGTTAATATTTAAAATTAATCTAATAAAATAGAATAAAAATTATTAATTTACCAGTATTCAATTATATTTGTTACATAAAATATAATTTATTATAATAAGGGTTAGGGTAAATTATTTATTTAGTTATCCATTAATTATCACATTTTTATTTTGGCCACTGTTTTTTTCTTTCTTTCAAAATCACACTTAGTGTTACCTTTTGTTTATGTTTTGGTTATCTATCAGTTAAAAATTAATGATGATATTGATCTACTATTTATTATTATTATTAACTTTTACGTCATTTTCTCCTTCACATATAAAAATAAAATAAAATAAAATAAATTCTCTTGTTGGCGATGGAGAGAAGCAAACCCTAGCCCCTCACTTGGCTAATGGACTAGGCATATTGTTTGCATTTGTTTTACTAAAATTTATATTTAATATATACTACATTATCGCCACAAAATAAATTGTTTTTATTAAAATTGAGATTTGGACCTTATTGGTTTAGTCTTGTGGCTTGTGTTGGATTTGAATTTTAAATTCTCATGTGTGCTCGTATTGATTTTTTTTATCATCAAGAGGATTAAGATTATGTAATGTTCCGAATTTTCAGGTCAGTGCGTGTGAATTGAATCGAAAAATCTACTGATCAATGTAGTCGTGAATGTTGGGAAATAAACTGAGTACGAGTAATTTCCTTATAACCAGATTAGTGAGAATACGAAATAAAAGCGGAAAAATAATACCCCGAATTGATAACGAAGTTCAGCCAATTTGCTTAAGTCTCCAGACTGCTGCAGATCTTTTACTAAGAGAGAAAATTTACAGGTGTTTACAAAACACTCACTACTCACAAGAAGGCTTTCTAGTATTGGGAGAAAGAAATGATTTTGGGATGATTTTGAAGCTAAATTAGCTAGGGTATTTATAGTTGAAGCTTAGGGACTAATCTTGTAAATATCCTAAAATGTGCAATGACTAAATGTCTAATAATCCCAAAAAAATCAATAAAAACATCACCGAATTCGGTGCATTAATTTCTAGCCAAATTTGTCAAAATTTTTTGTTTGACTTTTCAACAATCTCCCACTTGAAGACTGATTTTAATCTGTCTTCACACCTCGATCGATGCAGCAATATTTATGGCATTGTTATTCTAGCATGCCAACTGAAGCTGAACACAACTTCAGTTTATCCGTAGTTACCGTCTTTGTCAACATGTCTGCCGGATTTTGAGCTCCACTAATCTTTTCAAGTTTCAAAATCTCATCTTCCAGAAGAAACCGAATAAAATGATATCTCAATTGTATGTGCTTCGTCCTGGAATGAAAAGACGGATTCTTTGCTAGATGGATAGCACTTTGACTGTCGCAATACAAGACATTGTTTTCTTGTTTCTTGCCTAACTCTTCCAAGAAACTTTGGAGCCAAACCATCTCCTTGTTGGCTTCCGTAACAGCGACATATTCTGCTTCAGTTGTGAAGAGAGCAACTATCTTCTGTAGTTGAGAAACCCAACTCACTGCGGTTCCTCCTAGAGTATAGACATACCCTGTAGTGCTTCTTCTGATGTCAACATTTCCAGCTAAGTCAGTATCTACATAGTATGTCAGTATCGTATCTCCACCTTCGAAACAAAGTGCTTTGTTTGTGGTACCCCACAGATATCTGAGGATCCATTTGACTGCTTCTCAGTGTACCTTCCTGGATTATTCATGTACCTGCTAACAGCTCCCACTGCATGAGTAATATCTTATCTGGTACAAACCATGGCATACATTAGACTTCTAATTGTTGAGGCATACGTCACATTCACCATGTGTGCACGTTCTTCCTCCGTCTTTGGTGACTGTTCTTTGGAGAGTCTAAAATGAACACCTAAAGGTGTACTTACTGGTTTAGGATCTTGCATGTTGAACCTGGAGAGTACTTTGTTTATGTACTCAGCCTGTGATAACATCAAAGTCCCCGACTTTGTGTCTCTTTTGATCCTCATCCCAAGAATCTACTTTGCAGCGCCCAGATCTTTCATTACAAACTGCTTCGACAATTTTTGCTCCAAGTTTATAATCTCTTGCATGTCTGAGCCTGCAACGAGCATGTCTCATATAGATTTCTTCCTCCAAATAATAAAGTTGTTGTCGAACATCTTGATATAGCAACAATGATCTGCTTGACATCTGGTAAAACCACTACTACTCATGAAACTATCGAACTTATTGTACCACTTTCTTGGAGCTTCTTTTAAACCATTCAAGCTCTTCTTCAACCTGCATACTAGGTTTTTCTTGCCTTCCTCTATGAAGCCTTCTGGCTGCCTCATATAGATTTCTTCCTCTAAATCACCATGAAGGAAAGATATCTTTACATCTAACTGCTCAAGATGTAGATTCTCTGCAGCTATAATTTTCAACACCAGTCTGATTGTAGACAGTTTCACGACTGGAGAGAAAATTCCATTGTAGTCAATACATTCTTTTTGTTGAAAACCTTTGACAACCAATCTTGCTTTGTAGCGTTTGCTCCCATCGTGCTCTTCTTTGATCCTATAAATCCACTTGTTATGGAGCGTTTTTTTGTCTGGTGGTAATTCAACTAATTCTCACGTCTGATTTGACATAAGCAAGTCCATCTCATCTTTCATAGAAGACTCCTACTTGACTGAATCTTCCACCTGCATTGCTTCATCATATCACTCTAGTTTACAATTATCAGTCAACAACAAAGAGTGCAAAGAAGACGAATAACGCTGGGTTGATTTAGGAATTCTGGAGGAGTGTGTCAGTTCTGGTGTGCATGGTTCTTCTTGAACTGCTTCAGGATTGATCTGAACATCATTTCCAGAAATCTCCTCAAACTCAGCAAATTCCTTTGTTTCAGCTTTGGTATTGGAGCTACTTGATTCTATGATTGCCCTGTCTTTGTACATCACATTCTCATTGAAAATTACATCTCTGCTTCTGATGATCTTCCGATTTTCATTGTCTCAAAACCGGTAACCGAACTAATCACCGCCATAACCAACAAAATCACATTTATTGGACTTAGCACCAAGTTTACTTCTTTTAGCATAGTCTATGTGTACATAAGAAATACAACCAAACACTCTTAAGTGTGAAAGATTTATTTCTTTCTTGCTCCAAACTTCATATGGTATTCTGCCATCCAAAGGAACTGAGGGCCCACGGTTGATGACGTAAGTTGTAGTGCTGTTAGCTTCAGCCCATAGAAATTTGGGCAATCCGACATGTATCCTCATGCTTCTGGCACGTTCATTCAGAGTTCTGTTCATGCGCTCTGTTACGCCATTATGTTGCGGTGTCATGGGAACTGTTGTCTCCATTTTGATCCCATTTTTTGCGCAGAAATCTCTTATCTTTGAATCTACTATTTCTGTACTCTCATCCATTGTCAGACCTCAACCGCTTGACTTTCAAACCAGTCTCATTTTCCACCATGATCTTCCATTTTTTGAATGTATCAAAGACTTCTGATTTCTTCTTCAGAAAATAAACCCACATCTTCCTCGTAGAATCATCGATGAAGATGACATAATATAATGAGCCTGCAAGAGATGTAACTGGAGATGGTCCCCATACATCAGTATGAATCAACTCTAACTTTTCTACCTTGGGTGTCTTTCCAATCTTTGCAAAACTGACTTTCTTTTGTTTGCCAAAGATGCAATCCTCACATAGTCCGACATCTACACTCTTTAGATCCAACAGCATCCCTTTTGACAAAAGTGTCTTCATCACTTTCTCGCTCATATGGCCAAGCCTTTGGTGCCATAGGTTTGATTTTCCACCAGCATCTGTTGCAGCAATGATATTCTCTAAGTTTGAGGTTACATAGAGAGTACCAGTCTTCTTACCGCGAGCAACGACGAGTGCTCCTTTGGTAATCTTCCATTCATAGCCTGAAAAGGTTGTATTATATCCTTCTCCATCAAGCTATCCAACAGAAATCAAATT